ATAGCATTTTTATTGCTGATGCTAGGAACTCCAGTAAAAACCTCTTTTAAACAGAGCTATCTGATTTCCTTACATTTCATTTGGGAAGTGCAGTTAATAATAATGTTCATTAGTTTACATCTTATTGCTAAAACTGCCCCCAGCCCACTATTCTGTGTTAGTAAGTGCAGTATTGGGTTAAATATAGTTTCACTTTTCCTTGGTAACCCTCAACTTTCCATACCCCAGGCTCCTCATTGTGGAGATGGGTGGTGACAGAGGAGAATGAAAAAGGTGTGGGGTATTCTCTCAATGACCTTCCTTTGAAATTCTGTTTTTAAGGAAACCTCCATATACTCTTTTGAAGATCATTTTATTTTCACTGGCTTCAGAGTCTCAAGTGAAGTAAAAGTATATTCCAGGTTGACAGGTTCTGAATGTATGCTATCTGATATAGTAGCCAAAATCATACTAAGCACTCAAACTGAGATGTGCTGTAAGTGTAAAAGATACAATGGATTTCAAAGACTGAAGACAAAAAAGGATGAAAAACATCTCACTAATAATTTTTATACTGATTTCATGTTGTAATAAGTGAGTCAAATAAGATGCATTACTAAAATGTGGTTATATATGTGGGCTCAGATTTGTGACTCATGTGATATTTCTACCCAATAGTGCTACTCTAGATTTGAGGTCAGAGACATTTCCTGGAAAAAAGGACCATATGGTAATTATTTAGGGTTTCTCTGCCATTCAATGTTCACCTGGTGCGGTATCAAGAAAGCAGCCACTGACAACACAGAAGCCCGTAAGCACGGCTGTCGTCCACTGCAATCTTGTTTACAGAAAAAGGCAGCAGGCAGGATTGGCCCAGGGGCCATAGCTTGCAGATCATTGTTATAGATTGTCAAGCCTTTACTCTAGATAGAGTTTTTGTATCATTAGATATTATTTTGTCATTTTTATGAAAATGTGTTCTCATGTCATCATTTTGAATTACAGCCATTTGGAAAGACGACAAGATCATATAATAATCAACAAAGACCACTTAAAGTGTTAGAGTTTTAAAGAACACAGAGACACACTTTTTAAAGGAATAATCACATAGGAGAGATGAGATGAATAACCCAATCAGGCATCATTTCCTATACGTGTGATTGATGAGGCTTGATTTGTTATTTTGCCAAGGGTCTCTTATGGGCATGTTGACATCTTGCTAATGTTTCTTTCGCTAAAAATCTAAGATAAGAAGTTGGAGCTAGGCTGGGAAAAGATAGAATTTCATGGACTGACACAGATGATTTGAGAGGTATGAGTGTCATCTGGGGAACAAGAGAAGAGCAATGACAGGGATGGGGAGATGTTCTTAATATGATGGGGGTGTGCTGGCCCCAAAGAGGACCTCAGAGTCACTGTAAGTGGTTTGAAGACCATGGTTTAAATCCCCCAAGAAAGTGTTACAATCTTCGGTCTTGTGGGCACCTATGTGACGTAGGCACCTGGCATCTTGTGAGTTGGAAAAGACCCAGTGGGCAGCTGCTACGCCATGAGTCGTGGCTACCTCTGTTATGTACAAAACCAACACCGATTAGTGACACATCACACTCTAAATATTGATTAAGCTGAAGCTGATTTCCTGGTTCAAGTCATGTGTGTGGTTATGAGCTATTTTCTGCCAGGAGAATAAGGCAATTAACTTGAAGAGTTTCAGCTACGGGCATGACACGTGTCCAACCTTCATAGGTATTTTCACATGCCAGGTTGCATTAACATAAGCTAAAAATTACCCAAAACGTTCCTTTGTTTAGATATTATAAAGTCAGAGTCCATGTCTTATTCATTGTTATGTCTCCGGCTTCTAAGACAGAGCTTGGCAAATATAGAGTTTGGCTAAGTGTTTCTTGCTGAAATAAAGTACCAGACATGGGCATTTTTGCCAGAAGCCTCAATGGTCCAACTTGGATCAACTGTCCAACAGTCCCGGAGGCACCTGCATATAAGTCAAAGAACTAGATCTGATCTTGAGTTCCCACCACCCTTTCCTGACATCCACAAGTTCTTTGCTCATAAAGGTGCATTGGCACTTCCTTCCGTATTTTCCATCCAGCCCCATTAATCTCCTTCCAAAGAGCCCTTAACCTCTGGCATCTCACCGGGCCCCAGGGTGAGAGCTGACCAGGACTGTGAGTGAGGTCAGAGGAGGTGGCACTCCAGCACCCATCATGTTCCTTTGGCGTGGACTTCTCCCAGGTCTTTCAGACAATTGCCCTACAATGTAAAACTTTTCCATTTCTACACACCAAAAATATAAATTAAAAAATTTTACATTTCCTGTCCCTCTACCCTCTGTTGGACTCCTGCTCATCTGGCAAGTTCATCCATGTTAATGGGATAATGAAAAAAACACTGCAGTAACGTCATATATCTGCATTTCTATGCCAGCTTGGGGGAGATCATGCCTTAAAAACGAGGCCAAATGCCCTGCAGCTCATGAGCAACATAGCTGGGGTGTAAAGGACATAGCTGTGCTCCTCAAATGATCATTTAAGCAGCCACATCCATGTTCCACCCGCACACAATGGAACTCGGCTCAAGCCCTGAAACATCTGTTTATACCAGAAGGAAGCCCTAATCAAAGTCAAACTTGACAACAGTCCACAGAGTCACAAAACATAGATTCCTTTGTCTTTGTCTAATTATGTGTGTTTTGTAATTTTTAAAAAAGAAAGAAAGAAATGGGTCGTTCACGTGTGTTCCTAATAAAAGACCCCATATTGGAAATCTAACTGCATTCCATTCAGCCTGAGAATCAAGAAACAGATGAACTTATGTATCTTTTGGATGAACAAAAAAAAAAAATCTATCAAAGCCACCTAAACTTTTTTTAGGATGAGTGCATTTCATTCCTTTAAAAATCAGTAAGAGGAAACTCTATTCAAATAACCTTCGCTTGTTCCAAATAGCTAAGAAAACTTGGCTCTTCTCTCTATATGATCCACTTATTAGTTAAGGAAGGGGCAGAGAGATTAGAAAATCTTAACTCTCGTCACTTTACACCTCGCTATGGAAAATTCATTTACACTTACACGTGCACTTGAATATATCTGATTGTAAACAACACTTGACCGTTTTTCTCATCCCTGTTCATTCTACCCCATAGGCACGTAAGAAAACCTTGGCTCTTGAGCACCCTCTCTCCAAACTGGCTGGATCAAACTTTCCATAGGTCAAAAAGGCAACTGCATTGACTTAGAAGGCCGTTGTTGACTTCTGCCAACAAGAAATAAGCAAAAATTCTGTTTATGTCAACAAAGCATGCCATGAAGCAGAGTGAACAATGACGTCAACGTGGACTTCAAGGTTAAGGCGAGCCTAGGGAAACATTTCTCGGCCGACCCATGTGCCTTCCCCAAACTGAGAACTGGCTAGAGAAACGCCATCACAATAATGATCAATAGCCCTTGCTGATCCAATACTCCTCTCTCCCATCTAAAATTGTTTGATATGCTATTTCTTTTTAACACACATTACAGGAGGTTAACCAAAGTTTCATTCCATTGAGTACCTGCTATGTGCTGGACACTGGGACAAATGCAGTTAAGTCTTCTCATTCACTTCTAACCTCATCCTCTCACACTGAGCTGGACAGAACATCTCCCCTCTAACCTCACAGCAGCTCCATGAGGGACACAGCATTCCAGTTAACAGCAGAGGAAATAGAATGGATCCAGACAGGGTAAATAACTCGCCCAAGAGCAACCAGCTACTGAAAAGCAGAACCAAAATTCAAATCCATAACTGCTGACTCCAAAGCCTGTGCCTCCTGCCGCACAGAAACACTCAAAATGATGCCCTTAATATGCTCACTTACTTCTATGCCTGTCACCACCTTCTGGGGCGACAGAAGTCTTGGGACTTGGCTCCCTCTCATCTTAAAAGTGGGGGGTGAGAGGCTAAACTACCATCAGATTACCATGCATGCATTACGTCTGGGGAGGGGAGACATCATCTTACTCACAAACACACACGCTGCACTGAGCCGACTCCCCAGGCTGGATCAGCCCTTCTTCAGGTGAAGCTAGGAAACCAATACTAAGCTGCCAAAGTAGAAACTCCTCAGCAGTTCCTCACATCTTGCATGCCCTGGTGCCCCTCCGTCCCTTTCCCCAGGCAATGGGGTGAGCAAAAAACAGGGTAACTGAATTTGCTTCAGGCTATGGTCTACTCCAGCCTATCCATCTTCTCCATAAACTGCCTGGGTTTTTTATACCTTCTCTTCTACCTTCCCTCCAGCTGCTTCTTTCAGCCAACTAGCGGCTCCTACACTGTTGCCAACAGGCAACCAGCAGGAAGAGAAAGCAGGAGGCAAACACCACCATTTGGGAGCTTTTAGGGGCTGTGGCTGGGATGCACGCGGAAGCTATTGGCTGATGTGAAGTTTGAGGACAGTCTGTGCATTTCAGACATCCGTAATTACTTGCACAAACTGGATAATCGAGGGCCTCTATACCTTGTTTTGAACTTCCTAGGTCCTGTGTTACACAAAGCAAGGAATTAATGAATACTTCTAAAGGGATAACTGATGGTCTGTGGCCGCTTACGGAGAATTCTGTACCGACTCTGTCACAGTCACCGTCTGCTAATGAGCCCCACGAACGTCTGTGATGCTAACGGCCTTTTGTTTCTTTGTCCTCCGGTTGTCTCACAAGTGCAAATGTCCACTCGGAATATTTCAGCTCTACCGCTGACACCAACACCAGCCCGTGTGAGATTTGTTTTCCCATCTAAGAAAAACAACTATACATTCGAGACTAGAGTTTGGAACAGACAGAACTGCCTTCTACAAGTACCACTGTCACAGGCGGGGCTGGGCAGCCTCAGGTCATTCTAGTCACGTCTGGAGGAAGGTAAGAGTTAACAACGACCGAGACTGGCAAGGGGGTCTGTGAGGCTGAGCAAGACTTCCATGGACCACACCAGTCAGCACGCATGACCCCAGTGGAAGTGGTTTCCATTACCTTTTGTTTTCAAGGTCCCCATCCTCTCTGAGGAGGCTCTCTGCATCTTGACCTTCGGCGACCTCAGAATGTTTTTGGCAGCTGCTGGAACCAGGGATCATCTTTTCAGAAATCTGCTTGGCATCGTTCCGTGACTTATCTTTCAGGCCTCGTCACAATTATTCATGCTTTGGCAGTATCCTAGCTACAGTCACAGTACTGTTCTTGGGCTGCTCCTGAAGGTAATTCTGCCCCAGCCAGTGGAAGACGAATGTGCCCATCACCTCAGGACCCTGGCTCCAGGAAGCATGTCCCCCAGGAGGGCAGGAGCTTAAAGGCATCTGTTTAGAAACCCACTCTGAACCTTCAGCCCTTGTGAACAAGCACGTAGGTAAGGATGACACAAAAGAGGAATCGGTCCCCAGACCACCGACAGTTTGTCTTTGGAATACACTCCAAGGCACATTTGGCTATACTCGTGGACACATGTTTATACAGTCTCAATGGCTGAAGTGGGCCAGCTGCCTCTGGACTGTACAAGGACTCCATCCTTTACCTCTCCACTGTGATGGCAAATATCTCCTGACTTTCCCTTTTTTTTTCTCCCTCTCTTTAGCATTCTGCTTCTACTCTGTGGCTGGGCTTCCTGCTTTGTATATTTTAAGCTACTTTAGACATGACCTCACATCCTGGCCCATTTCACAGTAGCTGCTAATTTTGAGGACTTTGCTAATGGGCCATACATCCATGAATGAGGGGAATGGGTTACAAGCAGCAAAATCCAGAAGACAATAAGCTAGAAGCCAATGGCTAGAACTGGGGCTCTGAAAGGAGACAGACTTGGGTTTCCACCTTGGACCACCTGTGTGTCCCAGGGCAACTAACATGATCTCTCTGAGCCCTAGTTAACTCATCTAAATAGGGATCATACTAGTTCCTACCCCACAAGGTTATTGTTAAGATTAATTTTGGATAATGCATATAAATAACCTATCACAATGCAAACTACTAGTAGTGGTAATATTATTATTATTATTTAGGTTTCCAAATTACGGGATAGCTTTCTTCCTCCAGTGTCTACATATTTCTGAGGTTCTGCTTAGCTATTCTGCTCTCTACCCTCCACCTGTCCACCTCTCTGTCCTGACCAATCACTTTCTCTAGGAAGTATCCCTAGATATACAAGATGCACACAATTATGCATTTTCTCAGTTGTTTCATGTTTTTCATGCAGCTGTTTTACATTTTCCCCAATTTGCAATTGAATTTCTCCAAGGTCAAGAAGGGTTACCTTTCACCAGTTTCTCTGGTAGTACAAACCTCTAGAGCAAAATCTCTAGCCAAAGGCTAGACCTTTAAAACAAAAGGTTAAGCCCACCTTCCAAGTCACACTTTTGCTTCTCTGGGTTTTGCAAAACTTTCTCATTCAATTGCAAAATGGCTTTCTTGTTTATTCAAATCATTTTTCTTTCACAGCAACATATCTGAAGCTCATCTGAAGGAAGCACAGACAGTCAGGAAGCACTGACATTTCCCTTTCCAAGATAATTCCAAAATTCATTCCTTCTTTGTCTGCCAAGACATTCATCCATGCTCCAGTTATTTTCCACCTTACAGTATTTTCTATAATCTTTCTTTTTGGAGCCCTACCTTACCACTTCACTAACTCATCATAGTCTGTTCATAACATCATTTTTCTCCTCTCTGTGATGGGTTCTGTCAAATCCCCCTTGGTCCAGAGAACTTTTACACTTGCTCCATCATCTGTCTCTGTTCCTGTGGACCACTTAGGCTTTTATTGCTCTTGTCTTTTTTTGATTCCTTGTAACTGTCAAGAAGCAGTCTCTCCTTGCCAGGTCTTGGGATTTCCACGTGGAACTTTCCTGATCACTCGGACACTAATGTTCCACACACTGCTCTACTACATCATTTCTGCCTCTGTGGGTAAGCAGGGCATTATGGACAGGAATCATCCGTTTAAACTGAAACCCTGTCATTTGTTATGGCAGTTTTATTTATGAGCCTGTGTGCTATAACCCTGTGGCATAAATATTAAATAATAATATCTCCTGGGTGAAAAAAAAATCATTCATGTCAACTGACAACTTCTTATAAAAACATGAACTAAAGCCAACCACAAAACCTGGTACTGGCTTATTTTATAATATGAGGGAAAACATGGGCTGCTCAACAGGTAGATACTAAAGCAGAATTACAACTTTCATCCTTACATCCTCTTGCTTCAGGGAGTGAAACATCCAAGAAGTAAAAGAGTATCAAAAGAAACTTGGGCTGGGTGGCAAGTTTCTCTGGAATCAAATTCTAATTCCTGCCAGTTCTTAAGCAGTCTTATCCTCCAAAAAGAAAAGTCTCCGAATAATGACAATGCCACATAAATGAAAATAATTCTGGACAATGACACTGCTCATTTTTTTTTCTTTTTAGTATTCTGTGAATTTCCTATTACATCAGTTTCATGATTCAGCATTTTCCATTTCATTTATTTACAGTAATATATGGCGAGATAACCCAAGATTTCTGCAGGATCCCGGAACATAAGGTAGGCTGGCTGGACAGAAAGGGTGTCCCCTCCTGCAAATTTACTATTGTTTAGGAGAATTCAGAGCAGAAGAAAGCAAGCTACCGAAGGAATTGAGGAATATTTCCCCACCTTGTTCTGCGGTCTAAATTACTCTGATATTTTAAATGAGTTGGTTTTGAATAATAGGTTACCGCCATTTAGTTGCTGACTAAAGCCGAAGCCAAGAAGTGTGCAAATTGTGAACGGAACATGCATGAGCCAAGCGTGTTCTCTGAAATTATGCTCAAGACGCAGCTGAAGTCTCCACTCTGGCGCTAAGCGTGTTACAAAGAACTAGATTTCTCTCTGGCATCCGCAACTTGGCCGGAGTGACCATGGAGGAGTTCAGCGCTGGAAATACCAGGCTCCTCGCCCGGGGCGTCCGCACAAAACGGTCCGGGCCACGAGGACCGGGTGGAAACTAAAAGGAGGGTCGAGGCAGGTGGCTTTGGCGGAGAGCAAGAGGCGAAGTTGGGTCCGGGAAGGAAAGGAGCCGCGAGAAGACTGTCAGGGAAGCCCAGGACCGGCGGGGAGGGGGCGGGAGAGCCGCGCGCTGCAGGGAGGGAGGAAACGCGGGGAGCGAGGCTCCCAGGTGAAGTGGGGAACAGGAGCGGGTCTCCAGAGGAACCTGACTCAGGTCTAGAGCGGGTCTCAGAAGCAGAGAAACGGATCCCGGCGAGAGTGCAGCGTCGCAAGTCCGGTCCACGCACCCCTCTCCACGCCCCGGGTACCCATCCCAGGTGCCGGGAGCGCCCGGGGTGCGGCGGCGAGGTAGAGACAAAACTAGCCGCGCCGTACCCGCCGGCGAGGCGGAGGTCCCCGGTCGCCCCCACCCGCGTCCCCGGGGCCCCGCGCGGAGGGGAGGACCCGGGCAGGGTCCGGCGCTCACCAGGTAGCAGAGCAGGAGCAGCGCGCACGCAGGGCGCCCGCCGAGGCCCGGGGGGACGCCGCCGCTCGGGGGTGACCCGCCGTCGCCGCCCCCGCAGCCCCAGCCGAGCGCCGGCTCCTCCCCGCCTCTCAGTCCACGTTCCTCCCTCCCTCCCCTGCGCTCCCAGCCCAGCCCGCCTCCCGGCCGCTCCCTGCGGCCCAGGGGCATCCACCCCAGGGGGCAGCCCGCGCCCCCGCAGGTGGGGACCGACCCCAGCCCCGCCCCCTGGCCGCCGCCCCCAGTTCCCGGCCGGCTCCGCTTTGCCTTTCTTTCCTATCCTCCCCAACCACCCCCCCGCCCGCCCGCCTTCCGCACTCTTTCCGCGATCCCTCTCCCCTCCCTCCGTTTCCCATTTTCCCCTCTCCCCAATTCTCTCACTCTCTTCTCTCTCTTCCTAACCCCCCCTTTCCCCCCACTTTCTCCCTTCTCTCCCAATCCGCTTCTTTCTCCCCTTCCTCTTCTTCTCATTCCCTCTCTTTCCTGCGCATCTCGTCTCTTCCACCCACTCCTCCGGCGGGTCGCGCAGCCCAGTTCCCGCCCGTGCAGTGGGTTTTTGTTTGGTGGCTTTTTTGACGAGGGCGCCATTCCCGCCCGGCGCAGGGCGAGTGTGCCCCCTGGAGTCGCGCCTCGCAGCGGCCCAGCTTCCTTCTTTAAGGATGGATTTTGACCCCTGCCAACCTCCACCTGCCCACCTGCAGGGGCGGGGCCGCCTCCCTGCCCGCACAGTTTTAGCCCGGGTTGGGCCCCACCCTGCCAGCTGGTTCGCGGCACGTTCTGGATGCTTCCCGAGGGTTTTGTGCCGGGCCGGCACCGCCGCCGCCTCCGCCGAGCTCTTTGTTTTAATTGTCCAGAGTACCGGCGCCCAAAGCGGGTTTGGATTTGATTTGCATCCCTGTGCCGCGGCTTCCACTTTGGACCGGAAAGAAGAGGAGTTAATTAGGCCAGTGCAATTGTGCTCAAGCCCCCAAGTGAAAGGGGCGAGGCTCTTGAAGTGCACAAACAGCTTAAAAAAAAAAAAAAAATCCATCACCACCTCGGCCTTGGGGGACTTAGGTTGGGATGGCTGCTCGCCGACCTGAGTTCTGCCGTCCGGCCAAGGGGCCAGGCTAGACTGAGGGGTGCCCAGCTCGCGCCAGCCCTGTCGCTCTGGGAAGCGTGTGGCTGTGTCTAACGGCTCACACAATTGCTTGGGCCCGCGGCTGCTGTGAAACAGTTAACCAGCCTTCGAAAGTTCTCTAAAGCTTCCCTTTGGCACTGGTGGATTTGAGCGGATTGGAACTAATAATAGATTGGGAGCCTGAGAGGACACCATAGCAGGTCAAGTTCTGACGGGCATCAGGAGAGGGTTGGTGCTGAAGAGAGGATGCCCAGGGTAGGGTAGGACCAACTTTGAAATCCCCTATGCCTGGATGTGCCCTCAGCCATCTCTTGTGCAGCCCTGGCCACACTCAGCAGCTCAGCTGAGTCATTCCTTACCTTTTTTAGGTCACCTAAGGCTGTGGCCCTGGGTCAGGCTCTTGGCTCCAAGTCACTCACTGCCAAGTAAAGTCTTATGTCACCTATTCTCAAACTTCAGTCTGCCTCGCAGTCACCAGGTTGCCTCGCAGCAACCCACATTGCTGGACAAGTCAGCTAGGATTTGGGGTTCAGCTGGTCCTGGGTGGGACTTGCTCACAAACTGGGAGGTGATGCTGCTGCCAGTCCAGAGACCCCATTTCTGGAACCACTGGCTGATAGGAAAGGGTCACTCTGCTCCCCCTTCATCCAGAAGCAGCCACATTAAAGCGTTTGAGGATTTCTTTATTTTATACCTTGTCCCACTTCCACAGACCCAAAGCTCTTAAAATTCTCCCGTGTGATGTAGAAAACCATTTATTCTATCAAGTGTCCAAAGGGATAAAAGATTTGGTGGCTTTGTCCTAGATTATATACGTATTTTTTTTTATCATTATAGTAGACTATAGTTTTTTTTTATTTTTTTAATTGGAGGGTAATTGCTTTACAGTATTGTTGTTTTCTGCCATGTATCAACATGGGTCAGCCACAGGTGTACATATACAGCCTCCCTCTTGAACCTCCCTCCCATCTTCCACCCCATTCCACCCTTCTAGATTGTCATGGAGCACTAGGTTGAGCTTAAACCTGTGTCACTCAGCAAATTCCCACTGGCTGTCTGTTTTACGTATAGTAATATATATGTTTCCATACTGTTTTTTTTCAATTCATCTCACCCTCTCCTTCCCCCACTGTGCCCACTAGTCTTCTGTGTGTCTGCGTCACCATCGCTGCCCTGAAAATAGGTCCATCGGTACTTTTTAATGCTTGTGGAAGACAGTCTGTTCCAGTTCCAGAGAACTGGACCTCATAGTGTTACTGGGGGGGTCCCATCTGTCTTCTAGGACCTTCCTCTGGATTTTTACTCCTCCTTCATTATGCATGGTTTAGACTGGTCTTTGGGGAATTGAATTCTTGGGTTGTTCATAATCAGGATACATGGAATGAGAGCTTTCAAGTCTTGTGAATTTTAAGGGTTTGAATATATCTATCTCTAGCCAATGTGGAGGCACCCCCTAGGGAACTGGGCTCTTGTTAACCTGATGTAGGCCATGTCTCACTTAGTTATCTTCTACTGCCTTCCTGCTGTGTGTCTGGCTCCACCCCAGGTACTGGCAACCCTGAGGAGAAGCAGGCAGGCAGAACTGACCCAAACACAATTTGATCCTCTGGAAGTGACTTTCAAGTTGCTCTGTGGTCCAGGGCAGGGGGTGATGGGATCGACTGATTAATTCTGTACTGCAGAGGGGCAGAGAAAGAGAAGGTCAGGATTTCTATTCACAGTCGACTATGACATTTTGATCCAGAAGACAAAATCTGCTATTGCCCTTGCCTTCTCTCTAAACGTTTGTGTCATTAATTTGAAGGGTGTGGTCTGGTTTCAGAAGAAGTCTCTTTATTTAAAAATAGCCTCTTTTCCATTGCCCCTGTGGAAGGGCTTAAAATTCCACCATTACAATTCATTGGTTTGAATTAAGTTTTAATACTCCACTAAAATGTGAAGGCCCCTGGAGAAAGTGTATTAATGTGATATCTCTCATTACTGCTAAAGCATAAGTCAGTTCATCACGTCCTCTCTAAGGAGACGGTGGAAGGTGAACGATTCCATACCTGAACATGGGAGAGGAGAAAGGCAACAGAGTCTGGAAAGAAGATGGCAGCCTCCCTTACCTATGAAGGAGCACCCAGAGTCTTGGAGGGAAAAGGACTGGGGAGGATCTGCTTGCCTGTGTGGATGCAGTGTAACATCCGAGGCTAGTATTTCTGACTCTGGAATGGGTGTGTGTGTGTGTGTGTGTGTGTGTGCGTGCGTGCGCACTCAGTCATGTCCCACTCTTTGCGACCCCAAGGACTGTAGCCCGCCAGGCTCCTCTGTCCATGGAATTTTCCAGGCAAGAATGCTGTAGTGGGTTGCCATTTCCTACTCCAGGCCAGAATGGCTGGAGATCAGAAAAATCTCAGAGAGCAATGCCATTTGGCCAACTCTTAACTTACCAAGTAAAAATATTTAAGCCAAACCACCAAACAGAATACAACCCTCACCCCCCCATACACAATCTTCTGTCAGGATTATTTCATTAACAAGACAGGGCATTTTTGCCAGCAAAAATTAGAAAGGAATTAGCCTCATAATAAAAGGCAGTCCTTTAAATTAAATATAATTTACTTATGAAAAAATCCTAGTTCGTCTCAGCCTCATTTTGCTGTGGACAAGTAGAAACTTACCTTCAGATCAGTGATAACCATTGCTGGGCACTTGGAAGTCACATTTCTAAATACTAAAGATGTGTAGGGTCAAGAGTTCTGTTCTTTCAGAGACCTGGGGTTACAGATGTAGGCTGGGGAGAGTGCTACATAGGAAGCAGGAATATTCCTTCTACCTGCTCCTAAGGCCCAGGCAAATGCCACCAGCTCCAGGGAGCTCCCTCATGACCTCAGGTCAAAACTTTAATCTTGTAGTTCAGAGAGAAAGAATCTGCCTGCAGTGCAGGAGACCTGGGTTCAGGCCCTGGGCTGGGAAGATTCCCTGGAGAAGGGAATGGCTACCCACTCCAGTATTCTTGCTTGGAGAATTCCATGGACAGAGGAACCTGTAGATTAGAAGGGCTACAATCCATGGGGTTGCAAAGAGTCAGACATGACTGCATGACTTTTACACACACACACACACACACACACACACACAATAAACTATAATGGAAAATAATCTGAAAAAAATATATATATATATAAAACTGAATCACTTTGCTGTGTACCTGAAACTAACACACTACTGTAAATCAACTATATTTCAATTTTTAAATGCTGCTAAATAAAATTATATACCTATGAA